GAATAAAAATAAAATAAAAATGTACATATGTAGTATTTATTTTTTGTAAATAAAAATTAATTTATTTATACATATATATATATATATATATATATATATATATATATATATATGTAATAATAAATTTCAAAGAAAATTTAAATCGTGCCATAGACCGCAAACTGAGGATTCTGAAAAACATCGTATGCACGTGGCTACCGTTCGTTTCGTTTCTATAAATAAGGACGAGCAAACACTCGAAAGAGAGAGAGAGAGAGAGAGAGAAAGAGAGAGAGAGAGAGAGAGAAACCAGTAGGTTGACTCTCGGTTTCCTGAATGTTCTCACATGATGTAGGTACACGATAAATTATGAAAGTTCTCGCAGTATTAATGCGTTTTCAATTTTGAACAAACATTGACAATATTTTGTTAAATCTCGTCATTAATATATACATACATACGATCGAATCAGTTTTGACATTGAAATTAATCTTTGAAACTGGAAATATTAGAAATCGAATGACGAAATTTTATGGAAAAAAAAAAAAATAAAAAAAAAAAGGATTAACATTTTATTATTGAAAATAATAAACAAACTTTAGAAATGATTAACAAAGATATTTTCTATATCACGATTTATATTATTAATAATGATCATTATGCAATGACTATTATCTATTATGTCAAACAATTGAATAATCTCAAAGAAAATTTAGATTTATTATGTACATTGAATCTCTGAATCAATTCAAAGAATCAAGCACAACTTCGAGTATAGTTAATAAGACGTTTACTATGACGATGATCGATCATCATGGTTAACTATTATTATATAAAATAATAGATCTGACAGAGAGACAGACATGCTTGTGTAGACATTTTTTTAATCTAAAAAAAAAAAAAAAAAAAGAAAAAATTCAACGAGAATTCAAATGGATTTCTCCATTGATGATTCACAATCAAAAAAGGACAATAATAATAATAATAACATCGTATATGATTAATACTACGTATTTTAGGCCATTGTAACCAATACAATGATCATCCTGGTTAATTAGATATTATTATAAAAAATTGTAAATGTTTGATAGGAAGATAAGTTCGTAAAATTTTTCATTTAGGAAAAGTCAACGAGAAAGAGAGAGAGAGAGAGAGAGAGAAAAAGAGAGAGAGAGAGAAGTAAATAAAAAGACAGAAAGAAAGAAAGAATCCTGATGAATCTCTGCATTGTAACTTCGGATCGATCAAGAATAAAGGCTAACGTATAATTAATCATTATCCAGAGAGCGTTCGAAAAGATTCCATAGGACGTTGGTAGGCGTACCGATATTCGAGCCTTTCCCTTGGCTGTGTTCATTGGAGATACGTTCTTGTGTTGTTCGGTTCAAAGATAGCCGTCGATCTCAAGCAATAACTCGACCAATAACCCGATCGATAAAACCGGCCCTCTCCTCAATTATTCCACCAGGGAAAGGAAATTACGTAGAGAAGAGGAATTGCGATGAAGAGAAAGAAAGAGAGAGAGAGAGAGAGAGAGAGAGAGACGGGTAGAAAAGGGGGTGTGGTCGAGCAATAATTATCGGCAAATTACCGTATGTTTGTTTTACAGACTCTGGATGATATACAAGACGATATACAGTGGAGCTCGGACACGGTTATAAGCCGCGGGCTATACGCGAGATCGCGGAACTCTCTCTCTCTCTCTCTCTCTCTCTTTTTTTTTTCTCATTCTTTCACTCACTCACTCATTCTCCGGATACACGCCTACTTGACCTTCAAACTTCCTCCAGTAATATGGTTACTCTGATTTTGCTTTTTTTCCTTCCTCTTTTTTTTCGCTTTTTCTTTTTTGTTTTTTGTTTTCTTTTCTTCTTCTTCTTCTTCTTCTTTTTCTTTTTCTTTTTCTTCTTCTTTTCATTCCCTCTCGTCATAAATGTATTGCCGCTATTTCATGATATATTACACATTTTGTAATTTTCTGTAGCTTTTTTTCCTTTCTCTTTTCCTTTTTTTTTTTTTTTCGATTAATGATAAATACGTAGCAATAAATTTTATGTATTAATTGCTCACACGTTGATTGAGATATCCAAGTTGTAATTAATTTTATATTTACATGAATATGTAAATCTGTAAGGATATAAATTTAATTTAATTGTACTTTTAAATTAATCGTACTTTCGAGGATCTTATAAAGAAAGAAAGAAAGAATGGAAGGAAAACATTTGAAAGTGTATTTCGTATTTTTATAGGTGCGTCTATGGAAAATATAAAAAAGAAAAAAAAAAAAGAATGTACTCATTTTATATTTAAAAAAAAAAATAAAAGAAATACATACATACTAATATTTATAAGAGTAATATAGTTGGATAAATACTTGGAATGTTTTCGAAGATGATAAAATTAAATTTTTTTTTTCTTTTCTTTTCCTTTTCTTTTTTTTTCTTTTTTTTTTTTTTTTTTTTTAACTTATCCAAGCCGAGTAACGTGTATAATCTAGTTATTCAATTTTTTTTTCTCTCTTTTCTGTCTTTTTTTTTGTCGTAAGAAACGACGTTTCTTTCCTACGGGCAGTAATCTTGACGTCAACGAGAACGCTTCGATTGTTCGCTTTTATTTATCTTTTTTTTCTTTTTTTCTTTTTTTGTAAACGAAAAAACGACAGAGAAAGAGAGTGAGGGAGAGAATGGTGGGAAGGGGCGGAGGGGAGGGGAAGAGGAAAAAAATACTTTTCCTCTTATCCGACGGACATCTGCGAGATGTTCGTGGATGATTTACGAGCGACGTTTCTACCTGCTCTCCGGCACGAATTTCTGAACGTAGTTGTGTATGTATGTGCGTACGTAATTACATCCCGGGACCGTCGAACAGCGATCAATCACATTTAATTAGTCTCCTTCCACCCGAGGTATCCTTACGGCTTTCAAAGATAAATCGAACCTGATCCTTCTCTTTTCTCGTAGATCCTTTAATAATATATCTCTCTTTCTCTCTCTCTCTCTCTCTTTCATTCTCTATCTATCTATCTATCTATCTATCTATTTCTATCTCTATCTCTATCTCTATTTGCTTTCAATAGGAAATATTCATTAACAAAACATTCAAATTTTTTTTTCTCTTTTTGTTTTATATAATTAATAAATTCAAAAATTAATTAATAAAAAAATTTATCCAAGATACCTAATCCATTAATCTAATATCTGTGAAAGTAAATAATGTTATATTAGAATCATGATTAGTTTTTTTTACTTTAGACGAGAATTTACCTTTCATCGTAGATTAATAGATAAGTTTTATAAATATGTCTTTAGTTAATTATTTATATATGTTGTATTACTTGTAAGTGGGACGATTGTATTTATAAATTAGATCTACATATACATTAATAATAATAATAATAATAATAATAATAATAATAATAACACAAAATTTTATATCGAAAAAATCTGATTTCCAATTTTTTATATTTACCATATAAAAAAAAAAGAACATACATATATATATATATATATATATATATATATATAGAGAGAGAGAGATTATTTCTCATCTTAAATATATTTCTATAATCAAAGTTTCCGATCGACAAACTTTTGTATATTACAGTAAATCGATCGATCATCGAAAGTCGATTCACGAAAGATAAATTTAAAAATGTTTGATCGATCGATCGATCGGTTGGTCGGTCGGTCGGTCGATCAAGAAAGAAAAAAAAAGAGAGAGAGAGAGAGAGAGAAAGAGAGAGAGAGCCGTTCGACGATCTCGTTGAAACGAGGTGGAGAGAAAGAGAGAGAAATCTTAAATAATCTTACCAAGAGTGTGAAGAAGAAGGTCGTTGTAAGAGGCAAGAATAAACGAGCAAAAGGGAGATTATTATGGTCTTGAAGAAGGTGAACACAGAGGGCGAGGTTGAAGGAGGAGGTGAAGGAGGAGGTTGTGTAGAGGGGTAGACGTGGGTGAGAACGGGGAAGGGGGAATGGGGAAGAAGACTAGCAAAAGTATTTGCGCCTCGTTTGACCCGTTCACTGATTTTCGATCTCGTCAAAGCATCTCGCGTGATTAATTAGTCGACGTTCTTGGTACGACTCTTTGAAAGGCCCGTCTCAAACGAAACTGGTTGAAAAAAGAAAAGAAAAGAAAAGAGTGATGAAGAGGGGTGAAGAGAGGAAAGGCAAACGATGCTTGCCGTTAGGGTTATCTCGTAACCGCAATTGGTTTTCTACCGTCGATGTGTCAAGAGAGAGAAAGAGAGAGAGAGAGGGAGAAAAAGAGAAAAAGAGAGAAAGGAAGGGAAGAGAAGAAAAGAAAAGAGATTGGTAGGGAAGGGAAAGGAGAGAAACCTAAAAGAAAAGGGTGAAGAAGCGTGCAACGAAAATGGTTCTGGATTGAACGAGAGAGTCCCACCTGCTTCTACACGATCGACAAATGTATAAAGACACGCACCTCCAAGACAAACTTGTTCAATCTTACATGGGTTAAACCCATGAATCCGTATTATTGTTCATCTTAAATCTAAATCAACGGTTCTCATACATTTTTTTATCATATTAAAATTAATCATATTACAATTATCTTTAAAATTAGCTTGATGTATGGTAATACATTATTTATAAATAATATATATATATATGTGTATATTAATTAATATATTATATTATTATAATGTACACTATACTAGTAGACAATAATACATAGTATATATACATATATATTATTATTATAGTAATATATTATTATACTCTATAAGAAATAGAGATAATACAATATTTATATTCATATATAACACTACTTATTTATACTTATTAATAATTATTAATGTTAGTAATTACATAATATTTAAATCAAAAGAAATAATGAAAGTTTAACAAAAAAAAAACAAAAAAAAAAGGAAAAAAAGAAGAAGAAGATGAAGATCAAAATGAAGATCTATAATCTATGAGCACTCAAAATTTACAAATCGATTTATATTTAACGACCGACATTAACTTCGGATATAAAATAATAATTTATATTCTTTTACGAAGGTGGGTCATCGTTTGTGCATGGTGGTGCATAGTCGCGAGAAAATGGTCGCGAACGGCAGGTAATTGCAAGGAGGATAGTTTCGGTCTACAGCAGGGGTTCTCAACCGTGGGAGCGGTTGCAGCATGGGGACTTCCAGCAGCTCATACGATCGCCGTTTTGGTCACTAGGGATGTCGATGCTGATGAACTAACGGGTAAGTTAAAAAAAAATATATAAATATATATATATATATATATATATATAAATATATATAAAAAAATATATATATTTCGATATGATACTTTTTCGTATAATAATTTTATTAATATGTAAATATATCGTATATATATATAATATATATAAATATATATATATATATATATATATATATATATATATATGATACATTTGCTTTCGTAAGTTCCGATTTAAGAATCGGAATCCAAGCGTGACTGGTTATTCCAGTCGTACTTTGAACTACGATGAAGTAGTACACATCCGCCCACGTTTCTTATAACTTTCTCGTTCTCTCTATGAATCTTATGAATCCACATGAACGTGTCGTTATCCAACCAAACCCGACATATGATTTAAGATTCAATAAGAACTCGGAAACATTTGCAAATATATTTAATGTTTCTTATACCATGGAGAAACATAAGGGACAAAACGAGTATCAATTCTTTCCTGTTTCTTCTTTTCATTTCTTTTTCTTTCTTTTTTTTCATTATTACGTCGATAACAAAGATCGTTAGGTCATAATTCGATATTTTATAATCGACAAAATGAAAAAAAAAAAAAAAAAACATCAGATCGGATAATATTTTGACTATTAAATAATTACTTTGATAAGCTCGAAATCTCGAAATCTCATACGTAACGTTAAAGAATTGGCGTTCAATGACATTTTGCGCGATGAAGAAAAATAGAAGGAAGAAAAGAAAAAAAAACTTGTAAATTAAATTAAATGTAAAAAAAAGAAAAATAAGAGAAAGAAAGGAAGAAAGGGATGAAGGAAAAACTTCCAATTTTTTGTTTTGTATTTCTTAACAAGATCGATGAAACAAAAACAATGAAAAAAAAAATATGTATATATATATATATATACTTACAGTTGAATATTCGAAATCTATATAAAATTGTTGTGTTCATGCACAACGAGAGGAGAGACTTCGAAGCAAGCCAACGTGAAATCGGTTGCGGTTAGCGAGGGCTCCTCTTTCTCTCTCCCCGGTAGGAGAGGCGACATTCAATGCAAATACCTTTGGACCCGCTCTGCAACTTTTCACTGTCCTCCACTAAGATCAAAAGCTACTTCGACTCCATTTTTATCTCTTACCTACTAGTAAAGACGATGGTGTTTAGTTTCGCTATACAATATCTATTTAATACATACATAAATACATACATACATATATACATACATACTTATTCTTTTATTTAACGACACAACTTAAATAATAATAACAATAATAATAGTAATAATAATGATGATAATGATAATAGTATTAATAATTAATTATCTTATTATTATAATCATAATGTCGAGTAAAAATAATAATAATAATAATAATAATAATAATAATAATAATAATAATAATAATAATAATAATAATAATAATAATAATAATAATATTAATAATTAATTATCTTATTATTATTATCATAATGTCGAGTAAAACTCAATAGTAATTATTTTTTAAATTCAATCCAATTACAAGAAGATGAAAAACTTCGCTATAGTAAAAAAGCAATTTAGATGGATCGAGTCTGATAAAAACGTGAGAGTAGAATACTTATGTACGAAACGTTTATATATGTAAATACATATAAGAATGAGTTGTTAGAGTGTTTGTGTGTATCTATGTGTATAACAGAGAAAGAGAAAGATAGAAAGAAAGAAAGAAAGAAAGATAGAGAGAAGGAAGGAATACATACGCATGTTCTCTTAGCTCTTCTTGAAGTACGATCTCGTTGACCACCGCTCGTGCCTCGCAAACGAGATTGTTCTTCGAAGATAGCGAGCGACGTTTAAAGGCCAATTTATCGAGCCTGTCTATCGACGAACGAGCCTTGTGCCTTGCCTTGGCTTGGCTTGGCTTGGCTTGGCTTGGCTTGGCTTGGCTTGGCTTGGCTTGGCTTGGCTTGGCTTGGCTTGGCTTGGCTTGGCTTGGCTTGGCTTGGTTTGATTTAGCTTGGTTTGATTTAGCTTGGCTTGGCTTGGTTTGGCTTATCCTCGAGAAAAGATATATCTGACGAATCTTTCAATCCATACGATTCCTTATATTTTCCAATCGAAAATTCTCTTAGGATTAATAATAATGAAACATTTGAAAAGAATAGGTACAGCCCGTCATAATCCTGGATTCTAATAGAATGATTAGAAAGAGAAAAAAATAATAAATAAGTAAATAAATAAAAAAAAGGGCAGGGATAGTGGAGGAAGGAATATGGCAAATGATAAAAATCGTACGTAAGATATGTACATTATTTTGCATTTACAAATTCGTTCATTCAATCATTCATCATTATCATTATCATCAACATCAACATCAACATCATTATCCGTCATAATTGTGAACTCTGATGGAATGATGAAAAAATAAAAGAAAAAATAAATAGAAAGGAGAGAAAAAAGGGGGCTGTAGAAAAAGAAAACAGCAGATGATAAATTCGTACGTAAGGTGTATACATCCTTTTGCATTCACAAGTTTATTCGTTGTCATCGTCATTATCATCATCATCATCATCATCATCATCATCATCATCATCCTCGTCATCATCATTATCATCATCATCATTTTTCAAGTCTAAGAAATATTTAACACTGGTCAGGGACGCAGAATGCCAAAGGAATTTTTATTTTAACAAGGGACTCTAAATCCTTCGCATTCCATACGCTAAAAAAAGACGAAGATGGAAAGATCGAGAGAGGAAAAGGGATAGAGAGAAAAAGAGAGAAAGAGAGAGAGAGAGAGATAGAAGGGTGATATACAGAAGAGGAGGATCCTACACTACTAACCGGAACTTGCCAAAAGAATAAGTGTCAGATATGAGATTCAGTACCGTTATTTTGTGTCCGTTACATCTCTTACAATATCACTTGTATGTACATAATGTACATACAACATGACATACATATATATATATATATATATATACAAACAAATACGCACGCACATACACACACACACACACACTACGTATGTATTTATGTAAGTATCTATCATTGTTGAAGATAAATGTAATAACGAAGTGCCAAGAGATAAAACGCGTTTACTGATATATTAAGTGAGTTCTCGTCTCTAGAGGTGAGAAACTTACTTTCGATCTCAACCGGTTGAGAGAAGGGTGAATAATCGTGAATCGTGAATCTTTCTTTCTCTCTCTCTCTCTTTCTCTCTCTATCTTTCTTTCTCGGACAGCCGTCTCGCGATAATGAGGAGGAGCATCGTGAACAAGATAAAGATCTACGCTGGCATTACTTGTCCTAGTCGCGTCCAACAGACACGCTGCTCTCACGTTCGATATACTCGAGAAAATATCGCGAACGAATTATAATTAGATGGGGAGAATAATTTTTTCTTTTTTTCTTTTTTCTTTCATTATTATTATTTTTGTGTTTTTTTTTTCTTTTTTTTTTTTTTTTTATCATTTATACTCATTTACGAATATAATATGATAATAACGACGAAATATTATCCATTGCCATTTAAATGAATACTAAAACATTGCATAAAAATTTGATATTAAAAAAACAAATAAAAAAAAAAGTAAATAAATAAATAAATAAATAAAAAAGAATGAGAGAAAAAAGGTTCCTATGTGTCAAATAGTAGAACAGTTTACGCTTATTTATTCTAATTTCATTGTTAGGTATTTCGTTCGTAGATAAAAAAAAAAAAGAAATTAAAGTTTAGTACAAATAATAAATTGTTCATTTATTTTTACTTCTATTTATTATTAAATCATATGTCCATTCATATTTATGTTTGTCAAATAATGGTTTCATTAGGGAGCAGGGAGAGAATGATTAACCCAACAAAATCCTTAAGCTTATTTATCATTATTATTCTAATATCATGATAACACGTATTTCATTAATAGATAATATAAACAACAAATGATTTGTTTATTCGTATCTATGTTTCAGGAAGTTGCTTCGTAGGACAACAAAATGCCCGATCACTTCTTGTTCTTGTACTAATACCACAATTCGTATATCTATGTTTGGGTACAACGTTCCTTCTTGTCGGTATAACGTCACTTCTGTTACCAAGACCATTGGTAACACCAAGCTCAGTTATGAGTGCACTTCAACAACAACAACAACAACAACAACAGCATCAACAACAACAACAACAACAACAACAGCAACAACAGCAACAATTGCAACAACAACAACCACCACAACAACAACAACAACAACATCCAAATCCATTGATCAGACAGAGAGATTCGTCAAAGTCACCGGTTGAAATACATAGGAGACATAAAATATTATTAACCAGAGTTGGTCTCTTTGCGACCTTTTATGCTGTTACAATGTTTTGTTTAACCAGTACAACATTTTACGAATGGTGGGGACGTGAAAGATGGCTCAGAGCACCAGAACCATCGAGTTCACCAAGAGTACCGTCGAAACCTCTCGTACAGTTTTTCGTTCTTCGATTAGTAGCCACTTTGGGTAGTGGCATAATTACAGCCGCTTGGATTTGGTGGCCTAATTTAATGAACGTTTGGAGACGTTTACCACCGTGCAAACAACCACCTCACAAATGTCATCCCCATGGAGTACCTGTACCTGTAGTACATTGTTTCAATCCAGGTTCGACAAGTCCAACGCCACATCAAATTCATCATCTTGGTCATTTGGCTCCACCGCAGCATACGCTTTTACATCAACATCAAATAGTTGGTAATTCATCGTCCGGTAGTCATAGAAGTCATAAGAAACATAGGAAACATAGAAAGTATCATAGTGGTAGCGAAACCCAAGTATAAAAATTTTTATTTTATGAACAATCAAATTGATAAACTGTATGTACCTATTGTTTTTTTTTTTTTTTTTTAAATCTTTGCCATAATAGTTATTTCCTTATGATAAAAAGACTGTACATTGACAAAAATGTACAAAATGATTCGCTCCTTTAGGATTTAGATAATCGGGCGAATTTTTTTTTCTTTTTCTCCGTGTCATTTAACTTTTACAACGAGGATGCATCGCAGATGATAATGATGATGCATGAGAGGCTGAATAATACATATCGTAATATTACGAGTCTGACGTGTATTTTATTTATTTGGCAAAAAGAAAAATTTTATGCTTCGAGTACATAAACGATGCTGTGAATAGTTTAAGTAGATTTTGATTATTTGAAATACTATTAATTTTTACATATCAAGTATATAAATAAGCATTTAGGATTTTCCTTAATTTATATAATTTAGTTTCTTTTTTTTTTTTCTTTTTTTTTTTTAGAAAACCTCATATAAAGATACGTAAAAGTAAATTTAGTCAATTTTCAATTTCTTTCTTTTATATAAGTCGGATACAAAAACATACGAAAATAATCAATATATAATTGTATGTATGTGTGTATATGTATATATGAAAAATGTTATTTTTTAAAAATATTTTTTACTCATATATATCTAAACCTACTACTGTAATTTGTTATACATTATTTACATTATAATGTATTTAAATAAGTTCAATGATTAAGTTAATCATTATCTATTACGTGCCACTTGTTTCTTTCTTTTTTTTTTTTTTGTTTTTTCTTTTTTAGTTCCATACACGCTACTACTTATAATAATAACGTGAATTAGAGCTTAATTAGATTTAATTTAGTTCAATGATATCGTTTGAACCTGATTTGCGTTAAGCGTTAACGCATTTTTTTTTTTATTTTTTTTTTTTTTTTTTTTTTATAGTAATAAAAAAGCTTTTGTATAAAATACCATAATAAATGATTAAGTACATTTATAATAAACAATGAAAATGTATTAAAAAGAAGAAAAAAAATTGATTAATCGAGAGTATATAATTTTCAATTTAGTTTTTTCTTTTTTTAGATTCATAAAAAGATAAAATAAAAAAGAAAAAGAAAAAGGAAATAATTTTACTATTTGTAGAGGTTGTACAACATGGATTTAAATTCTACGCCATTGAAGAGCAAGGTATGATTGCTCTGTACCACAGCACAATGCCAGTCGGTTTTACATAATCAGGGTGTGGTATTCACGGAAGTGTACAACCATTACAGGAAAAAAAAAAGAAAAAAAAAACTTGAAAATGAATGCTGCAAATTCTTCCCTTTAGTTTACTCTCTTTTGAGTTTTAAATTGGAGCATCTTGGCTTTTTTACATCAAGGGCCAATATTTAAAGCACAATAACAAACATATTACTCTCCCTCTCCCTTCTCTCTCTTTAAATAGTTTATTTATTTATTTAACAAAAATAAATAATTAAAACTTAAAAAAAAAATAAAATTGCGATTTGTAATGTAATCAAAACGTTATCATTCGTTGAGTGAACTTTTAACAATGAGTTTTCTACAATAAGAAAAAAATATAAAGAGCTTTGTCGTAATAGTAATAATATAAAAATTATGATATAATAATGACTATATAAAGCAAAATTTTTGTTTAAATAATATATGAAATAGAATTTTTTTTTTTTTCTATATCTTCAGTGCCTTCAATCTTTTATCAATTAATTCCTTTTGTTGATTAGTCAATGATCTAATATTTACTACTTTTGCTTTATGATCTGGCTTTAATTCCAATTCTAATAAAGCATCCAATTGTTTCAATTTTTGTTCTGCATTACGACATGCCTAAAATATTAATAAAATATATAAAAATGTATAATAAACAATATGCAATTATAATTGATAAAATATTATTATTAACATATATTAAAATATTACCATTCTCAATTCATGTTCTATATCACCATTGGTTTTTGCGAGCTTTCTTTTTTGGGAAAATTCCTTAACGCTAAATCCAAGAAATCTTTCTATAATCTGAAAAAAAAAAGAAAAAGGAAATATAGAAATATATTAGTGTAAATATAAACTTTGTCATTAAATATATTTAATATACCTCGGAAGCAACAACAACGTCTATAGCTGCTGTTTTATCAGAGATTGTTCCTTCTAATTGCCAGCAAGAATTTTTTCTAGATAATTTTCCAAAAGTAATGAAATGCCCTCGTACAGTTTTAAACATTATTTCTTTTATCGTCTCATCAATTATGTCACAAATGAAATCACAAATTTTCGCTGGTATTTCTTCTTTTACAATTTTTGTTTTCATAAAGTCAGAAATCTTTTGTACGCCTTTCTCTTTATTTGTTGTTTCTTTGATACAACGTATTTTTGATGAGCCAACAGGCGGTGGTGACATTAATGCCTAAAAAATAGATATTATTTTTTATTATAAATATTTCTCTATACCAATTGTATACCAATATTTGCCGAAAAATATTAATATTAAGTCATACCGCGGATCTTTTATTTCCAATTTCTATTTTATAATCAACTTGTTCCCTGGATGATATTCCACTTGTATTAATATTATTTTTCTTAAGTTTTGACGTTTCAAAAGAATTTTTGTCTTTTGTTGGGGAATGTTTTGAATTTGGAATATTCTGTAAGAATGATTTAGTTGATTGAAAATTTCTTTTCATATCAGATTCTTTATTTTTTGATATAGAATCATTTTTTTCTAACACTTCTAACATGTCAATATCATCAAAATTAAAATCATCCTCTGGAAAATACATGTCAGTTTGTTCTTTAATATTTTTTTGTCCAGTTGAACATTTCAATGTATCGTCTTTATCTTTCACAATTATTATATCATCTTCAATATTATTATCATTATCTTCTTTAGGTAATACTCGAAAAGGTTTGACTAAATTCTTTTTTTCTCTATCTGTACTTCCATTATTATTAGATGTACTTGAGGTAGATGCAATAAATTGATTTTCATCTATCATTTCTAACAATTCATCATCCATATCAATAATTTCAATATCATTCTTTTTGTTTTTCTCGTTCTTATTAACTGGATCTTTCGGATGAACAAAATTTTGTTTAATATTCCTTGTACTAAACATGTTATTTTGTGTATTTATAGTACGTGATGTGTTATCTGTATTCTGTATCCTATCTACCTCTTGACTTTGTTGTTCGATTAATGTAACTTCTTCCAAATTCACTTCAAAATCATCTTCAAAAAAATCATTTGTAACAGGTGATTTCGGATTATGTACTTCCTGGCTTTTATCGTTATAAGGATCTGGATTTTCTGAACAATTTCTGTAATATTCAAATGCATTAAAAAATTATGAATAGAAAATAATACATTCTCGTTAATTATTTGAAAAACTTACAAAGCTCTAGCTAAAACATTTTCTAATGCATTGGTGATGGATAAATTTTCTACCTCTCCACCAATTTCTCTGAATTTACCTTCTTCTAATAAAATAATACCTCTTCTGCATTTTACAGGTCCAATGATCATTACTTTATATCCAGGTAATAATGCATCCTATAGAATTATAATAATATTAATCTTTATAAATTAATACATAATTATTTAAAACTAAAATATAATACGTATATATAATAAAATCACATTTACAAAAGTATATTACATGTAAGGATGAAATGGTTTTGTATTCTATAGCACTAATATCTTGTATACCATCTGTTAAATTTAATAGAAGCATCCTCTTTGGTTTAGGCTCCCATATTTGAGGTTTAATATCTTCTGTTGCTTCTATATTAACATTTGAAACATTACGTATTTGTTCCAGTTGTTTAAATTTTGAAGTTGATATATCATACATTGTGTTCATCTATATTAATATTAGAAAATAAAATAAATGACATTATATATATATATATATATATATATATATAAAAAGTTATTATATATATAAAATTTTAATTAGTAGTACCTGAAGTATATAAGTTCCATGTAATACTGTACACATTTGTTGTTTAAGATTTCTCGGTAAACATCCATTATCATTATTAATCTCACGTAAATCACTTAATTGCCATTGTGTTCTCACAAATTTTAATATTTCATTATATATTACCTAAAGTGAAACATAACCATAAAATGAAATATAAACTTGTATGGATGATAATAATAATAATAATGTTAATAAATTTTCAATATTATTATAATTTCATTTGTACAAATAAATAAATTAACAAATTTTAAAATTCACATTTACATTAAGAAGAAACACAATTTTAAACATATTACTTACAGCGTCATTTTCTGAAGTAAAATATTCTATACAATCTCTTAACCAAATTTCATTCATAGAATATGCTTCTGATTTTAATGTATTTTTAACTCGTTTTATAAGATCTTCGTTCATTTTTTATTATTTTGATAATAAAATTTGTTAAAACATTATATTATATAGTTACGAATACATTACGTTATTTATATTTGAATATATGCATATACACTAAAGTCTACATTTGTATATGCAAAAATATAATTAAAAATAAATAACCTCCAAATTGAGTTTATCTATTAATAAACAAATGTTCGAATAATATAAATTAGAATTATTCAATAATTACATCATAACAATTGTAATAGTTGAATAATATAAAACTCTGTTGAACTCTATACATAATTAAAAATGGCGTCCAACATGTCAGACAAATGTGTCGCTTATGTCGAGAAAACAATGAAAAGTGGTTATTTTGTCTTTTTTGTTTCTTAAAATTTTTATACAACAGTAAATATTGATTGATGATCGAACAAAGTATTTTATTAATTTCAAAAAGGTATGTATGTATAATATATAAATTGAAAATATGTATATATATATATATTCAATCTAAACTTTTAATATTAATTTTATCAATTTTTTAATGTTTAATATTCTAATCTTTTAATTTGAATTAGATGTTTTATTCGCACGAACTTCTTTCTATGCGACAAAAAGGAAAATTTGCACGATGTTGGTTAGCTGCTACAGTCAATGATCAAATATTTAAACAAATGTGTAGATCATCGACCGTGAATGGAATTAATTTATGTGAATTATGGTAAATAAAATTAAATATATTGTTGATGTTCTTCTCTGATATAAACTATACTTATTATATATTTATTAATTTATTTAAGCATAGAAATAATGAATACAATTCAAATTGAAAGTAATGAAACAAATAGACGATTCAGTTTGTATTTATCATCGCAACTTATGTATGGAGCAGTAAAAATATTATTATATCAGACAACTAATTTACAAAGTAAGTTATTTTGTTATCAATAATTATCTTTTGTTATTAATAATTAATTAATTCTTATCTGTTTTAGCTCAAGTTTTTCAAATAGACAAGAAAGTATTATATTACAAAAAGAACAAAATGTAATATTTTAGTTTTTTAATATTTAATAACATAATAATATAAACAAAGATTCATGAAAAATATGATTTATAAGAAAATTTGTATTTTACAGATATGAAGTTGATAATATTTCCAAAAATTTAGAATCATGTAATATAACTTGTATGATCCAAGATTTTAATGATATTCAATCAGATAACACTTTACCCGTTTTATGCGATGAATTGAATATAAATACTAAAATGGAGGCAATGGTAAATATATATAATTATATATATATATAAAATTATATAATATATATGTATATATATATAATTATATAGATGCGTGATGCTGCATGTTTGGATTTTGGTGCTTTAACTCATGAACAATTGAACTTTCTCCTTCCAAATGGTGAAGATATTTCATTGTTAGTGTCCTTGTTTCCTTTTCCAATAATCCTTAACTTTCCTACAGATATTAAATTTATCCAACTTGTGTATTATACATTTTTCTTTGTCAGAGTATTATCAAACATTATTATTTTTTTTATTAAAAATATTATACTTTTTTTTTTTTACTTGCTACATAGAGAAATATTCGAAAGAATGCATATTACAAATTCGAATTTGGATAGAGAATTAAATGATACTTCTCCAGTCAATAAAAATATTTTGTCAAGTTTAGAAGTATCTGACATCACGATGCATAAAATTGAGACAGGAATGTCAATAGATAATGTATCTATAGAAAGTAAGAAAAAAATCATATCTTTGATAGAAATCAATCAATTACAATTTCAGTTAATTATAATTGTCTAACTTGATACAATATATTTATTTTTTAGATGAAGTAGATTTTGGAGCATATACGAAGACAACATTGTCAGATATAACTGTACAAGAATTTATGCCAGCGAAGAATACTTTTGTAACATCTCAAAAGAGACAATCTGCCAAAGGTATACATATAGAAACACCAATCAAAAAAAGACGCGTATGTATTTTATTACTAACAAATTATTATTATTAAGAATTAAGAATAATTTGTGGATTATTATCTAAGTTAAGATTCGAAGATACAGCAGTTCCAAATACGGCAGAAATTGTAACAATACCAGAAGTAATTTCTGTTCCTACTGCAGATTATTTTGTAGAACCATTACAGAATTTGGAATCAATGCATATAGATTCACAACAGATTAAAATAAAATCAAGAAGAAAGAAAATATTTGCAGACAAAAATATAAAATTCAGTCATAAAATAATAAGAAAATGGATCAGTGATGTCAATGCTCATACTGTTGTAAGTTAAATCATATTATACTTTATGAATCTAAATTACACTTTAGAGTATTAAAGCCATCATCAATCATCCTTTATTATTTTATAGCCGTTAAGTGTTATTAATGTAAATATATCAACATCAGAAATTCTTTTCCAAATGGCACCAGCAAGATTTACTTCTACTCGAAAAAATAAATGGAATAGTCCTTTAGTAACACTTTTCAATACGCACGCTGTTGTACCATCTATTAAAAAAAAGATACAAGTGGAAGGTGGACAGTTAGAAAAATGTATTATTAATTATATCAAAAACCAAATTCTATTTGTTTTTTTCTTTTTTTCAAATATTTTGCTGCAATCATAATATCATAAATTTTTAGCAAGTGAATTTTTGCGTTTAATGGATAGAAGCAATAAAACTGAAGAATTGCTCTCTGATTTGTCATCGGCGATTGGAAGGACTGCTGAAATAAGCAAAAATATAAGTTCAGAGAAAAGTGTTGCCATTAGCATTGATGAGCTTCCAGAAGTAATAAAATTTCATGATGTAATGGCATCAACTAATGATGAATTAGAAAAAATACAATCACCAAATATTGCAAGAGAATCATTTATACCGGATGCTAGGTAATATATTAAAATTGTTATAAATAATATATTTTTTATACTAATAAACTTCAATTATTTTTATGTTAAGGCATTTACATAAAATTCAAATAAAAAAATTGTAATAATAATGTTATAAAATACAAAATACAGTAATTATTATAGTTTATGTATTTTTTAGTCCAGACTCTTCATCCAGACTTCCATCTTATTTATTAACAAAACAAGAATTACATGCATTATTGGAGATAATTTGGCGGAACAATCAATTTGCAACATTTACAGATATAATTTCACCAGATCATTATAGTAAATTAGATGCTTCTTGTTGTTTCACATTTCTCTTGGGTGAGTATGTTAAAAATATATTTTAAGTTTATAAAAATTGATATATAATCATTGATATGTATTCTTTTTTCAAAAGATATTTCTAAGCTTAATAATTGGTTTTAGAATTATACAAAGAGAAGAGAATTATTTTAAAACAAGCTACACCTTATGATATCATCTGGATACAAAAATATGCATAATTTGGGTGATAATGATTCTTTTGCTCAATTAATATATTAAAATATCATTTATTCTACAAGAAACAGATTATTATTTGAAATACTTATATTTATAAAAATATTTCTTTATGTAATGAGATTGTTCATAACTAATATAACAAAGAAATGTTTATATTTCTTGATTTTTAAATTACATATTATATAAAATGAAATAATATTTTCATTTATTGATGTAGTAGTTGTAATAAAGTTCCATTGTGTTAAAGTATTTTATGAAATAAGATAAAAAAATAAGAAAATATATTTCAATATATTTTAATACGAAATTTATTACATTATTCATGAAAATGTTTTAATAAACTTACTTTTATACTTTTATTTACGTTTAAACTGTACATCATATAAATTATATATTATATTATATAATATATTATATGGTGATTATTATGAGAATAGAATATAATAATTGAAACAATTAAAAATAAAAAAATTATAACTATTTAACGCATTTTCCTAAAAAATTATTTGAGAATTTTATTATATTCAATAATTAATCGAGCAATATAAAATATATTATTAGTAATATATTACCAATAATTTAATTCTATTTTGATATAATGAATTTATGTATCGGAAATTTTGTTTAAGAGTTTTAAAAGTAAACATTTGAATTCCCGCCATTCTGTTTAAAGATCTACGATTCTGATTGGAGGTTACTGTTTCAAATGACGGAAATACAATAAATCACTCTCACTCTGTGTTTGCGCGTGCATGTGAGTGGATGTAATAATTTGCGAATACAGAAAGTTTAATATTTTAGAAAATTATATTCTCTTAATTAAATTTTGTCGATAAAGTTAATCTTAGTATTTAGAAGTGAAAAAAATGTCGACAAAATCTTCAGTCGACTTAAGAACCGAATTAGCAGAACTTGTAAAGCGTAAAGCTGAGATTGCTGTAAGTAAAATACCATTGTACTTTATCACAAAAAAAAGAAAAACGTTCCTCAATCTTTTTATTCATCATTTTGATCATTTGAGAAGTATTATATATATTTTTACAACAATATTTTTAAGTTTATTTGGAAAAAATTCTTTAGTAAATTGATGTATCATCTATCAACTTTTGAGGTTATCTTGTTAAACCAAAGCTGTATTCGTATATTTCATTTACTTAATATTATAATTTTATTGATAATCTATCTGATTAACTAGAATTTCCTATAATAATGTTCGATATATTATCATCGTTAGTTATTTGAATGAATACACAATATTATTGTATTCGTGTAGGATACTTTAGCAAATTTAGAACGTCAGATATATGCATTTGAGGGAAGTTACTTGGAAGACACACAATTATATGGCAATATAATACGAGGATGGGACAGGTATTTAGCGAGTAATAAAAATACCAATAGTAAAGCCGATAAACGTAATAGAAAATTCAAGGAAGCCGAAAGATTATTTTCTAAATCTTCTATTACATCCATGGCAGTGAGTAATCTGTCTCTATGATATTTATATACAAGCATATATTTTGTATATGAATAGAAGAATAGAGCAGCTTAATAAATATATATGCGTATTATTTAAGGATTAAGAAAAAGTACGAATAGATATTTATATGTTATTTACTTATAAAAGATTAAAAAAGATAAGATAGATTGGCTTATTTTGTTCCTTGTTACAGGCTGTAAATGGTCTTGTGGAAAACACGCAAGAAAAAAGTAAGGACCTGAATGGATATACATAATTATTTATTTATTTACAAAATGAATATCTTAAAGCTTTTAAAGAAATCTTATATTTCTTTTTATTATTTTCTTTTCCATAGAATTTATTATTATTTTTACTATCTTATTTTGCATAAGTAGTCATTTATATTTATTTAAGTTTTTCTTTTTTTTAATTTTATTTATTATGTTATATATATATATATATATATATATATATATATATATATATATATATATTATATATTATATATATATATATGCTTGTTGATATTAGATGTATCAATTGTTTGAATATTATTATATAAAAGTTGAAACTAACGTTATAGAATCTAGCACCTAAGTATTTGACTGGAATCATTGTTATCAAATATAATTTTTTATCTAAAGTTACAGACACTGTAAACATATATGCATGATCCATTAGTTTTTTACAATTGAATTCTCTTAAAACAATCATCAATTACATACAATTACAAACAATCATCATAAGTACATAAAAAATATTTTAGTAATATCATCAAAGTGGTAGTTCTCTTATATCCTGTTTTAATGACATAGAAATTATCTAGTTTGATCCTAAATGTTTACGTCTATTCATTTAAATCTATTTCCATCGTTAAAAATCAATATATAATAGATATTTATCGATTTTCTATAGATACATTTTTTAATTGGTGTGTTCCTATAATTTACGCTTGTAAAACTATGATTGCACGTATAATAAGCTTTTCTTCCATTCTGCACTTCTACAATTTTCTATTACCATATTGTGTACCGTTAACATCAGCCCCATCATTCCAGTTGAACGATACAGTGAATCGGAGTCTCAAATTGGAAACAGTGGCAGCGAGGATAATTGCAACTTCAGCAATTCGAATACAATATCTAGTAATAACAAGGAAACAAGTGGCAAGAATCACACTTCCGCGCAACCTGGATATACTCAAAATAATGGCACTGTTAACAACCCCGATTCTGGTTCTACCCCTTTCTCAAACGGACCTATGTCCAATGGCAACATAGAACATGTTCCTACGCCCATCAAGGATTGTCATAATAACAGCAAAGACTCGAATAAAACCAAATCTACGAACAGTGCTAAAAAAAATAGTAATAAAAGATCGAGAAACAGATAGAATTATTAAAACGAATTAAATGGATTATCGGTGTTTACAGGGGGATTAAATAATTCTTTGTGAATGAATTATTATCGTTCATACGCAAAGTAACTCTCTAACCGGAACAACATTTTGATATTAACGCGAGTATCAATGTGTATCAAAGTATCGACATTAGAAAGGAACACAAGTTGTTGTTTGTAAAAGATAATAGTTTTCCATGAAAGAATATGAAACTTTGTTTGAATCGTTCGAAATGAACGTGTTTACGATTAAACTGTTTGAAAATTTATATATTTGATGTGTGAGAAAGGAACTAATTTTTTAGCGTACGATTTGCGTTTGATATAAAAATAAAAGGAAAAGAAACAAAAAAACCAATAAAAAAAAAAAAAAAAGACAAAAAAGAAAATCATGAGAGAACTACGTCACTTCGACATTCTATCTGTAATTGCAGTCATCGTCATTGTTATATATTTTTAAGTTTTTTATATCGATTATGGACACCTTTAAACGGAAACGCGACGCAGTAGTAAAACCGAGAGAGAGAGCGAGAGAGAGAGAGAGAGAGAGAGAGAGAGAGAGAGAGAGAGAGAGAGAGAGAGAATATTATGTGCAAGTATTTTAGAAAAAGATAATAATGAATATCATCTGAATGTAAACACATATTACCTCTGCCCGAATGTAGTAAACAAATCTACATATATGTATATTAACGATACATCTCAATTCGTCCAGCTGTTAACAAGTATTATGTGTGAATACTTTATTTTATTATTTTTGTATTAAATATTCTTCATATTTCTTACATCTTGCTCTCTTTTTTGTTTTTTATTTATTTATTAATTTTTTTTTTTATTTATTCGTTTATTATTATTATTATTATTATTTTCTTTTTTTTTTTCTCTTTTTTTTTAAATTAAGGTCCTCGATCCTTCTGTATAATAGATTTTCTATCTATGCAGAGTTATCGTTTATAGATAATAATAAAAGTATTGAATATAAACTAACTTTAACATACATGATTAAGTACCTCATAAATATATATATATATATATATATATATATATATATATATATATATATATATATGTATATATACACTATGTACCTTAGAATCGTTAAAGCACAGTCTGGATTATGCTTAGGCGTCTTTAATAAGTACAAATTTGAAAAAGCCTCATAGTCGTTAATACGTTTTCTTCTTATTAATTTCAAGGAACTATCGTTACACTCCGTCGATCCTTTTATGTTCCTATTTAAAAAAAAAAAAACAAAAAAAAAAAGAAAGAAAAAATAATTACTATACGTAAATTATTACAAAACGTACAATAAATGTTATTATCGATTTTTGCAAATTAAAGATAATCATATTACCATAAAAAGATCAATGTCGCAATTTTTTAATATCTCCATTTATAAGAGATGCTGGTATAAATGCTTTAACGTTCTCCGAAGATTTCTCTTTCTTTGGAGGCTCGCTTCTCGTGACAACGGCATTAAAACCATTGTGATCATCAGCCGTATACGAAACTGTTCTAATAGTTCCGTCGGCCTCGACCACCGAGTATTCTCCCTTCACAGTATCTCCGTCTCTTTCCTCCCATGCAGATTTAGAATCACCGGTGTATCCATCGATAACGCCATAATTAAACGAATACTTTGGATAAGACTAAAAAAAAAAAAAAAAAATAAAAATATTGTGTAGTAAATTAAAGTGAAAAGAAAAAAAAACTGCTGTTGGTTGTGTGAGTTGTTAAAAAGCAAGAGACAAAGAAAAAAGAAAAAAACAAAGATTAATCAATTCCGTTATATAACAAAATACTTTTTAAATTTAATTAAACAATTAAATTGATTTATTAATTTATTAATTATTTTTAATCGAGTTAAGTAATAAAATTATTTTACCATATAATCGACGTCCTTATCAATGGATTTTCGATCGGTAGCAACAACGGCGGATGCTGATTTTACGATGGGCGGTGCGACGTATACCAAAGAAGATGTCCTTGGTAATGGTTTGTAAGATATCGGTGATGATACCTTGACATATGTTGGTGGTGGAGCACGAGAAGGAACATTTGAACCTCTTTTTGCATTCCCTGCAGATTTAAAGGCACAAGCGATGGGCGGCGGATTGGCATCAAGTGGCAATGAACCGACCGGTGAACATGGATAAAAATTTCGTCTACTTTCGAAATTCTCCGGGTTATATCTGTTTTTTTTTTTTTTTTAAAAAAAAGAAAAAATCTTGCCTTTATTCGAAATTGACGACATATATATGTATATTTGTACGTCTTTATTAGATTATCCAGAAATTTTTTATCCATTTCTATATATCCATATGTATCATGACACGAGGGTAATATTTGTTTTGATTTTAAGAATGATTTTTGTAGATCAAAAAAAAAAAAAAAAAAAAAAAGGAAGATCGCAAGAATTTTTCAAAATATCCCAAATGCATGTTAATATTTTATTGTATATTTCGATCAAGTTTGCTTTTCTTTTTATTTATTTATTTATTTTCTTTTTCTTGCGCTTGAAAATTTCCGACTTATTTTTCATCCTCATACTTTCTGAATAATTCAATATATATATATATTTTTTTTTCTATTCGTCGTAATTTATAAAAACGTATAGTTATATCTAAAAGAAAAAAAAAAAAAAAAGAAAAGAACATTCGAACGAATGTTCATGAATTATTTGTTCTCCTTTCGCTTTTACATACAAAAATGCACTTCTATTTGTAAACTTTGTAAATAATTAAATATACTTTTAAGTATAATTTTTATTTCTTACTCTGGATAAACGGCTGCATGATTAAACTCCAACAGGCAACATAAAAGGAGTATCTGAAAGGAAAAAGTTAATTTCATCATCGTAGGAAGACATTCCAAAGGATGAGAGAAAGAAAGAGAGAAAGAAAGAGAAAGAGAAAAAAAAAGAGAGAGAGAAAGAGAACCGTGCTTCGTTGACTTTATGGGAATCGTGCGATCTTTTAAGAGTTGCGTATGCGTGGACCAGATATATATATCGTTTGTAATAGTGTTAGTAAAATCCTCGTTGCATAATAGAAGTGGAAACGATGAGTTTGTACCTTATAAAGGAGTGCCTCTTGTCTCTATGTATATCCGTTTGGTTTAGACATATACGAATGTTCTATTACGTTCACCTGTATGTGTATATGTGTGTGTATGTGTATGTGTATGTGTGCTCGTTTGAAATTAATTGCCAACCCACACGTCAATTTATCCTAACTCGTTCCACGTTGAAACATTATTTAGAAGAAACTTTTCTCCTATGACCTCATGAACGAACACACGGAAGACACGATTTAGAAATCCAAGATAATCCAACAATATTGTAATCCTTGATACAGCGAAATGATTTTTCTAAGATAATGATGGCAATTTAATTAATATAACGATATTGATTTTTATTTCTTTCTTTAGTTCTTCTTTTTTTCAAATATAAAAAAAGAAAATATACACAAACACACATAAAAAGAAAGAGAGAGAGAGAAAGAGAGAGAGAGAGAGAGAGAGAGAGAGAGAGAGAGAAAGAGAAATATTTTTAAGATTACTCTTTTTTTCTTTTCTTTTTTGACCTGTTTATTTTTCTTTTTTTTTTCCTTTTTCTCTAAATAATTTTATAAACCCGTTTTTCGCGTATAATTTCATAATACTTATTTTTACACGTACACACACACACACACATACACACATATGTACACACATGTACACATACACACACACACACAAACAAGCGCGCGAGCACGTACACATTTTCCACAGGAACGAAGAGTAGCGTTCGCACGGTGATGATTTCGAAACGATGAAATTGTGCACGACGGTAAAAAGAAAAGGAAAAAAAAGAAAAAGAAAAAGAAAAAAGAAAGATTAAAACGGGAACTAGCGTCGATTTGAAGAGAAGGAGAATTAAAAAAAGAAAAAGAAAGAAAGACGTAAGAATCGTCGATTACGTTTCGAAATTTTATTACCTTCAGTAACATCGTCGTCGAAGAATTCTTTTTTTTTTTTTTTTGTTTTTTTTTGTTTTTGTTTTTCAAATATATCGACGAATGTATCTCCACGTTGTCGAGTTTTCCAAGTAAAAGAAAGAAAGAAAAAGAAAGAAAGAAAAGAAAAACAAAAATGGAGAAAAAGAAGAAGAGGAGGGAGGGAAGAAAAAGGTCGCGAAAGATAAACGGCGAAAGAAAATTCGTCGTTTATTTCAAGATTAAATATATTTTCACTCTTTTAAATATATTTTCACCGGGGCGAATTCAACAACGATTATTTTCAACGATGTCTCTTTGCGAGCGCAGAGACGGTTGCAGCATCCAACGGCGCGATTCTTCCTTTTATATATACCGCGAACGTTCACTCGCATTTTTTCTTATCCACTCTTCCACGGCTCGTCCTCGTCCTAAGACCATTTTACACTCGAACGCAATCCAAGATCCATTGCACGAATCCATTGCGCCGCGCATGGGAACAGGACGTTTGCTTAAAAAGAAAAAAAAAAAAAAAAAAAAGAAAAAAAGAAAAAAAAAAGAAAAAAAAAGAAAAAAGAAGAAAAAAAAATTATGACCGCTTTAAAATCTTCTTCTAATTCTCTTCTAACGCTAACATTTACGATAAACAAGTCAATTGAATTTTCTTTTCGATGAAGACTGAAATAACATTCTTCAATATGAAATGATCGAATTTACGTCATATTACTTTGGTTGCTTTCTTTTTCGTTACACTTCTTCCATTCTCAGAAACTTTTGCTATCTCATCTTGATCGTTTTCTCTCAAAGTACATTAGTTTTTTTTTTTTTTTTTTTTTTTTTATAAACTGAATCGAATCGTCATACAGTAAATACGATCTTTAAAATTGATAAAAGTATACGTTTGAAAGATCATTGATTTTTTTTTTTATTATAATAAATATATTTATAATCATGCTGAATCGATAATGTTCGATCGTCGTCGTCGTAGCACGTTGCAATTTGATCTATCACGATTTAAAAAAAATTTTCAAATTAGCCGTGTTCAATTTAAAAAATAGTCATGTTTAAAAGTACGATCTTTCTTTCTTTTATATATTAGTTTTATTTAATTATGATGTAGATATATATTAGTTTTAATATTCTGAATCTAAAAAAATATTCGATTCGCGTTTTGCTTTGATTGACAATTCGATCTGTCGCGAGATCTTAAAAATGAAAATTTTGAAAGAGCTCGCTTTTTAATAGTTCCGACGATTTTTATTCTCTCGTACGTTCTTTTCTTTTTCCTTTTTTATTATTACAATCGAGATTAATTATTAACAAAACAAAAAAAAAAAAGAAAAAGAATTTCCGTTAAACCATTTTTTTTTTTTTCTTTTTTAATTATAATTCATATACACAAATTGTACGTTTTTTTCCTCTTGCAGAACTATACTTATACGTGATCGTGTTACGTGATGATTCCAGTTATGTTCACTTACACTTACACGAAAGATGCACACGGAATGCAAATACAATAGTGAAAGATTATGATATCTTGCCACTCCCTACAAATTTCTCCAATTATTTACATTCGTCTTGAGATATTCCTGTAACCAATGTATGTATGCTTTCTAACGAAACTATCCAAATTTGAATTGAAGTCGATAAACCGGATATAAAGACTCGTTCGATGAGAGATTTCTTTTACCGTTTCCGTCAAGAATATCGATCAAACTGGTATGGACACTTTTTTTTTCATGTAAAAATGAACGTAAACCGGTTAAAAGACAACAGAAATCGATTAAATAGTTTACTTTCGATTTTCCGTATGGTGAATATTAGGATATAATTTACGATATACATGTCGTTTATATTAAATACGAATTAAATTATGAAGTAAATATAATTATTATAATTAATTATAATTAAAATATGACCTTCCTTCTATTTTTTTTTTTTCCCTTAAAATAATAACGTTTAGGGTAAATAAAATTTTATTATTAACAATAACTTAAGTCGTATAATTTATATTTATAATGTCATTGAACAGTCCATATATTACATCGTTTCTTCGTTATTTATCTCATTCAATTTTTTCTTTATATTTTCAATATCATCCTCCGTTATAGTTGGTTCTAATCCTAATTCTAATTCCTCGTTTTTAATGAAAATAAAAGCTTTTATCTTTTGTTCGTAAAATATTTTCTGTTGTTTTTTTAATTCCGCTTTATAAGCATCCAATTTCTCTTGTTTTATTTTATCGCATAACTTTTGCGTTAATTTCCTTAAAGAATCCTTTCTATACGGTGAAACCAAATTTCTGTATAACAAGATGAAAATAAAAGGAAAAGATATTAATCGTCTCGTATAAATTATTATAATTTATAAAAAAAATATGAATAAAATAGAGCTTATACATACATAGGTGGTTCTTTATAAAAAAGGTTTAATTTTTCTAAAATCCATTCGTAACGCTTATAATCCCATTTACGTAATATTCTCAAGTATTTGTTTCTTTTTTCTATTAGTTCCTTTAAAAATACTTTGTTCTTCTTATCCCTAGGATGTTTTTCTATGATTTCTTGTAACTGTAATATTTCGGACGTCATTGAAGCAACTTAAAAAGATAAATTTATTAAAACATTTAAATATATATATATATATATATATATATATATATATATATATATATACATATAGAGTTAATTATAAAAGAAGAAAACTTACTCCTAGTTTCTGTTGATCCACGATCTAATTTATGCCTTTTAACCAGTTCCAATATCTTTTCCCTTCTCATATTTATAGTTTCTCTTCGGGGTTGAAATTCTAATGAAACTAATTTTTTTACAATCTCATCGGCACTAGTATAGAATTCTCAGTTTTTAGATGCAATGTTATAAATATGTTTATAATAATATTTTTTATGAATTTATACTTACTCTTGTAGTTCTTTCGATTTATCATATCCTAAAAGTAAATCTGTTGGTTTTACATCATGAGGTATACCCAAGTCACCGCTTTTTTCTGGTTTTGTTATGCATATTTTTTTAGGTCTAACCCAATTAATATTATAATCCGATAAATGAACAGCATATTTTCTTACAAAATATTGATGCTTTGTTGTATTTAATGTAATTTTAGAAAAATATTTACAGCAATTAACTAACGTATTCATTTTGTGATTTTTTTTCCTTTCTTTATTTGTAATTATTATTTCAATTTGGTATCAAAACACATTGCAAATAAACTTGCTTTTGAGGTTATGTATGATTAGATATATGAGGGATATCGTTGCAATTCATATATTTTGGAACTTAGATTGATTTAATTTTGTTCTTTTTTTTTTTTTTTTTTTATTAAATACATTCAATTTTTACTTTTAACTTTTGTGAATACGCGATTTATATATTACACATATATTATTATCATATATATATTCCTCTATTTTTAAGCTTGTGATTGGTTGTATTATAAATGCGTGTTACCGATTGGTTGAATCAATCCTATTCATAAAAAACGCGCGGTTTTTCAAATTTATCACATAACATTATAAAGGGTGATCATTGTTCTAAGTTACAAATGAAAGAAATTGTAGTTTCGTATGATTTATTTTTTTTTTTTGTATATTATATATTATACAATTATATAATATTGTTACGCTTAATTGTTTTATGTATCTATTTTGCCAACAACTTCGAACCATTGTCTTAAAGCGTCACTTAATACTCCAGGTAGCATATTAATATCCCTCAAAATCATATAAAATGGAAATGGAAAACTATCCATATAGGAACGAATACTTAATAATTTTCCATCTTCGAATACAGGCATTCTTATATCCAAAATGGAGTCCTAAAAATGTAAAAAATTAATCACCAATCAAATCACCATTTTATTAATTTTTGATAAAAAAGAAAAAGAAATATATATATATATATATATATATATATATATATATGTATATTACCTTATTTATCGGATTATCAACTATTATAAATACGAGGAAAATATCTGCCATCTTAGCTCTTCTAACAGCGTGATTTACTTTATCAGTTCCCTCAGAAAATATACCCCTACCATCGGATAATACAACAACTAGTTTGGCATTATCAGAAGAGCTAGATTGAGTTTCAAACATATCCACGGTAAAGTCAACTAATTGTCCTACTGATGTCTTTTTCTGTTCAAATCTCATTTCTTGAATCAATCTGTATAAAAGTTTATAAAAAGGTAATAAATTAAATTTATAAGTTATATCATTAAATTACATTATATAAAATATAGTATTATAGTACTACAATTCAATGAGACGAATGTAAACAAAATAATTGCGTGTTAAGCGTATGATAGATTACATGGTATTCCAAAAAATACCATCACGTTTATTTATTTACATTTTATAATTTGTCTCATTGAAGGGATTATAAATTATATTTACCTGGAACCACTTTGTTCAGTGAATGTTTCTCCTAATGGATGTAAAACACTTACACGTTCGCCAAAGCTTATAACACAAAGTTGTCCTACTTCTAAATATGTCATAGCTTTACTTATTAATGAAAGAGATTCGAAAGCTAATTCTTTGGAATGATTATCAGCCATACTACTTGAATCATCTAATGCTAATACAATTTGATAATCACGTTTAGACGGTTTAGTTCTCCTTAACCATATTTTATCCTTTCTAAATTGACTAGCAATATATGGAATAATTTTTCTCATATTAATACGTCTTCCCGTTCTATAATCTCCTTTTAATCTCGTTGCTTTTGTAGGTTCCAAAACTAATCTTAATTTTTCAGATAAACCACGAGCGGCCGAATCAGTAACCGTACTTAAATAGTTCCATGCAATTGTTGCCTCTTCCGTTGATGGTACATAAGTCCATTCGCTTAACATCTTTTCAACTTCTGTTCTTGTTATTTCAATTGATTTATTCAATTTAGCATTATTATCTATATCCATATTAGTATGAAATGTTGTATCATTTCCACGTTCTACTTTTACCGTTTCTATAAAATCACCTTCTATTTCTACATTTGTCTCCATTTGATTCATTTCAGTATTATTTCCTTTTTGCGACGAATCATTTTTATGTTGTTCTTTCTTATCCTGAACCAACTTTTCTGGATTCTGTTTAGGTATGTTGTCTTCCTCTTTATTAAGATCTTCATTTTCATCTTTATGAAGATCAACATCCATATCCTCTTCTTCTTCTTCTTCTTCCTTTTTTTCTTTATTTTCTTCATCTTCCATATTCGATGCTTGTTGTTTTAATTGATTCTCAGTAGCTGCATCCATTGCGTAATCATCAAATTGATCACTATTTTTAATATGTTGACACATATCGATATCATCTTTATCTTTATTTATCGTTTGATCCTCTTGTTCTCGTTCCAATATTTCTTCTTGCGAATTAATCATTTTCAACTTTTTCCTTTCCGGTTCAGTTTTGTCAAGTAAACTACGATTTTCATCAGCCGTACCAAGATTCTTTCTTTTATTCATCTGTTTTGATTTATTTTCTTCTTGCTGGGATAAAGTATTAGTGTCATCTATTGAGGAACCTGCATGACCACTTTCTTGTCTCTCTGATTGCGATTGTCCAACACCATTATTCTTACTATCGTCTTGATTATTTTCCGTAGGTTTTTCTTGGTATTGTTCTGTTTGCGATTCTTGTATAACATTATCTTTAGTACCATCTTTACTAGAATCAATTTGTTCTGAAGCATCAAGTTCCTTACTCGCATCATTAACACTAGGTGCAACCTTTTCTTCTAATTCTTCTTTTTCCTCTGTTTCCTCATCTTTCTTTTCTTCATCCTTTTCTTCTTCATTATTCGTATCTTGTTTTTGATTCGATGTACCTTTAGGATCTGCATCTTCGTCTATTTTTTCTTCGTTATCCTGATTCACATGTTCTCCTTTGTCATTACTTTCATCATCGTCATCATCACTAGAATCATCGTTCAAATCTATTTTTTCTTCCTGTTCATTTTTTTCTTCTATTGAATCTGTATTTTCATTTTCCGCCGGTGGTTTCGAATCTTTCATATCATCTATATCAAAAGGATTTTCATGGTCAGGATGATTTTCTTCTTTTTCATTATTATCATCATCATCATCATTATCCAAATTCATATCTTCTGGTAAATCAAATGGTTCAGGTTCTGGCTGCGGTTGATGTTTACCATGATAAGGATCGATTTGATCATCGTTATATTCTGGCTCATTTATTTCATTAATTTCCTTCTTTTCTTCTTCACGTTGTTCATCTTCGTGATGTTCTTTTTCATCATCACGACGATCTTCCTTATTCGAGTCATCCTTTGCAGTGATCTCTTTATCACCAATCTCTTCGCCTTGTCCTCGTTCTTCTTCCTTATCTTTGGATGATTGATTATTTTCATTTTCAGATTCTTCTTCTTCGTCATCGCCCCAAATTTCTTTATCCAATTGTTCAGCGCCTTCCTCTGTTTCTCCCATTTCTTTATCTAAATCATCATCTTCTTCGTCATCATCTCGTTTTTCATTATTTTCATCTTTCTCAATATCTTGTAACTTGCTATCAAAATTCTCAGACATTTCAATTCCCTTATCCTCTTCTTTACAATCTTTGTCTTCTGATTTTTGTTCTTCTTCGTCGGCTCGTTTTGCATCTTCCAATTGATCCTCACTTTCAATTCTGTCTGAAACATCTTTTTGTCCTTCTCCTTCACCCAAACCCATTCCACCTGTTTTAACATTATCTCCAGACTCTTCTGTATCACCTTCCTCTATATCTAAATCTTTGGGAACGCAGAAACCATTTGTAGCTAAATCCAAGAATACATTCAATTGTAAATACAATAGTTTGCAAGTTACTCGAAAGGATGCAACTTGTTCATTCAAATAGAACTGTACTAATAAAAGATATTGTTCCATTATTGGCAAACACTGTAAGATTAATCTGTAACAAATAATAATAATAATTGAATATATATATAATTCAATATTATTTGATTAAAAAAAAAAAAAAAAAAAAAAAAAAACAAAAATCATTTATAAGTTTATAAATATTTTACCTTTTACAATCTTGATTTTCGCCTATTTTGAACAAAAGATTTTTAACCAATTCATATATGTGAGAAATTTTCAATTCTTCTATATTCTTTTCCAAATCTTCTATTAATTTTTCTTTTAATTTATTCTGTTCAAAATCATCGTCCACATCTTTCTCATCATTATCATTATCATCATCATCGTTTAAACATCGTTTATCATCTTCACTTGTATTGGCTTTGTATTTTTTTTGTACAACAAGTAAAATATCCTTTATCAGATTATCTATAGAACGTTTAATACAATCAGCATCATTTGAACATAAATCTGTATTTTTGTTTATCGGTAATTTTTTTAATTCATTAAATGCATTAATACTACATTCAATTTGTGTTTGTAAAAATGTTATACTTTCTACGATAGGATGCATAGCATTTGTAGAACTAAAAGCATGAAATAATGCATTTATTTGCATTTTTAACATAGCAATCTCTTTGCAAGTATCCTCTAAAACTTTTAAATGATACAAGTCGAAAGTTTTTTCATTTATCATATCCTTTACATTCGTAGAAATAAATGCGGAATTGAAAATTTTTCCAATTTTTCTTATCAGATTTAAATTTTCGTTTAATTTAATTTTCATATTATCCAATATTATATCATCGCAAGAATCTAATATCGGTAATGTATTTTTTTCTAAAACTAATGTATCAGTATGTATTTCGAACGATGACTTGTTCGGAGAACATTGTAAATATAACAAAAGTTGCACAAAACTAAGTTCCACATTTATCATTGATTCTTTTATATCTTTAATATTATTTTGAAATTCATTGGAAATATCAATATAAATATTATCAATTTGTAATAAATTTCTAACGAGTACTCTAAGAGGCTTGAAATAATTAAATAATTTACTTAAAATTAATCTTTGTTTATTAGCCATTAACATTATGTGACATGAATAACCACGACAGCGTTCTATGTTCTGTTGACCTAAGTCAGTTTGTGTACTTCTTAATATTGCATTGAGTGCATTTAATTTGATGATAGATTTATAATAATATTTGTCACAACCTGACCATTGTATAAGCATTTGTTCATCTATATTAGACAAATTGAAATATTTCGTTATTACAGAGATATCTAATGGTGATATTGTAAAATCTATAACTTTATTCATATCGTTTTTCCACTTTAATATACCAGTACGATATGATACACCCATAAGATTTAAAGCTTTGAAATAATTAGCTAATATCATTTTCTTTTGTTGCAATATACTTTTTGCTTGTGATTTTTGTTTGCTTTTTGACAATGATCTATCAATCTCAATATTTCTTAAATGAATACTCTGTTCTATATAATCTTGTATAAAATTTTCAATATCCATTCTTATAGAAGGATATGAGCTTGTTAAAATGATTTCTTTGCAATAACATTTAGCTTTATTTAAAAGTTTTCCTATGCTCGATACAAATTCATATTTAATATTCTGATTATTAATATCTATCGATTCCAATTTAAACTTTATATCCTTTGTATTAATATTTTTCATTATGCTATCAGAAATGATAAAATCATTGGGATTTATTGGATATTCCTTTTGAGCATTATCACATTTACAATCATTTCTTAAATTTGCATTACAACTTTCAGCCGTTACAGTCAAACACGATAGAACATTTTGCTTCAAAACATTTTCATATTCCTTTATAAATTTATGCAATGTCCTGTGTGTTTTATCGATAGTTTCTTTAACAGACCAATAATTAATATCATTCCAACGTGCAATTTTAACGAAATCCTTTAATTTCTTTTCAATGGGTACTTTAAATCCATGAATTTTTGTATTTACATCCTGCACAAATTGTTTATAATAATTATATATATTCCACAATATAGCTAAGAGATCTTCTTTCTCGATAGATGGCTGAAAGTAAAGTACATGGCAATGGAACGTCAATAATAAATCAAGTCTTGTTTCAAATTCAACAATTGGTGATTCATTGATAAATCGTTCTAATAATTCTATTAATTTTTCTTTATTAATAGATTCATTTTCTTTAATGATATTGCTCGTTTTAATCGTAGATATTGATTTAAACATATAACTTTCGATTAATGCATAGAGATAAAACCACCATTTGGATGTTTGCGATCGTAAATTTTCAAAGGCAGTATCGAGACAATTCTTCCAACAAGTTAATTCAAGTTTTCTCCATGAAATAATTTGTTGTGTCAATGTCAAAATATCATTTGACAAGCTAACACCTACATGAGCATTTTCTTCCCATTGATGTAATTTTACTAATAATAATTCTAAACCCGTTAAAAATCTTACAAGAGGAGATGTAATTGGAAAATTATAAATTCTTTCTATAATACATTTTATCGATTTCAATGTAGGATGTTCCGACCATTGTTTTAAAAATTCATTGATCTTAGTTAAAATACATTTGCACAATGGCAAACATTGTTTAACTTGTTGAATATTAGAATCTTTATAAAAGTCGTATGATTTTTTATATGCTTTAATCATACTAAACATCATTTGTTGGGTATTCTCATCTTCAGTAATTCGCAATGATTGCGAAACTAACATATGCAAGCTGTTATATAATTTTGATGTAAAATTTTCATTTAAATTGAATTGATTATTATTCAATAATAAACGAGCTATCTCGTATCGTTGTAATAAAGGACGAATGTAATTAGGTTCTATATTATCGTTATCACGATATATCCATTCGGATTTTACGAACGATGTTACGACATTAGAATGAATTTGTTGAATTTCTTTAATATCATCGTTCGAAATAATATTAACGCATGATTCTTTTAATTCCGTAGATATAACATTATCTTCTAAATTCAATTCAATAATATTTTCAATGTCATTGAAATCTTTTTCACGATATGTCGGAAAGAAATATTGAAGTTCGGAAATAAGATCATCGTCTTCGTTCGATGATTTTCCAATTGATTTATTTCTATAAAGACTTTCTTTCTCTATCGCTAATTTTTCAGCTTCCTCTTCCTGTTGTTTCCATATTGTCACGAGTTGTTGTAATAATTCATTCAATAATTTCCAATGACTCATTGACAAATTTCTATTTAATAATATATAATTATATAATTCGTACAAGCCACATTTAACAATACGAAATTGTTCTTTAACAGACATCGAAGTATCTGTTAAACGTAAGGTTTTACTAATCATAAGTTTGATATAATTCGATTGACATGTATCAACCAAATGTAATAGATTATCTTGTCCCAATCCAATAGTTGGATAACGTATCATATTATAAATAAATATTTCTAAATTCCCTTTATTAGAATCTATTATTATTGATGATATTTCTTTTTTCGTTTCATTAATTAAAAGAGAAATTCCTTCCTTTAAATGTATCAATGCTACTAATAAAGGAAGAATTATGTCAGGATAAAAAGAATAATATTTAATATCTATTTGTTCTGTAAAACGTTCTACCGATAAGTACCACATTTCAGCTTCTCTTAATGCATCTTCAGCAATTTTAATGGATTCCTTCGATGGTTTATCATTGATTTTATTTATGACAAATGTTAAACGATCAATGTGTTTATATACTGTTTCATAAGATGCAATTGTATTTCGGAAATTAATAATGTCTTTGGTTAACATTGTGAAATCTGTCATTGATGATCGGAATGCTTTGGAAAGTTTCAAATTATCTCTTTCCTTGGATATTGTCTCTAAATATTTCCTCATTGCTAAATATCGAGGATGAATATTCTCGTTGCATAACGACGTTTTCAAAATATATGACTGCAGTGTATTTATATAAATTGCCATCTTACAATCTTTTATATTTTCTTCTAGACATTTCAATTTTAAATTGATCTTATGTACCGGATCGATATAACTCAAATTTCCAAATATCAAAAGTTCAAAATAACCAATTAACATCCATGTTCTTCCTCTTTCGATAATATCAATATTAATATCTACATTCATAAATTTCTTCCTTATTTCACGTAATTCTTCTATCGGTTTTTGATATTCATTTATATACGTGTTTTTTATTTCACATTGTTTATGCTTTCCTTGCTTTTCAATTGTAGAAACGATTAATTTATCAACATCATTTTCAGAATACATATCTTCTACGGCAGACATATATAAATTCAAATAAAATTTCATTATATGAAAATCATTGTTGGCAATATTATAATGTTTTGATGTTAACGTGACGCTGTTACGCCATAAAATATTGTTCAAATTATTTAATTGTTCGATACGTGACGTATACGAGCCTAATGTTGTTGCAGTAAGAATTGTATCTTCCTTATGTTTATCCGTTCTTTGCATAATCAATTCTAGTATTAAATTCATCAATGTGCCTCCGCCGACGTGTTTATTTGCCTAAATATAAAAATATAAATATTATTATATTATATTATATTATATTATTATTATAAATTATTTTTTAATATAAAAATGTATTTTGATATTATTATTATTATTATTATTTTACCTTTAGGATATCATAAGTGGTAACAGACGTTTCTACATCATCGTTACTTATACCATTCCAATGTAAAAGCATTTTAGAATCCTTCATGGCATAACTGTTCTGAGTAAACTGAGATAAGAGTATGCAGAATTCATACATCAATAACATTCGTTGATTTGAGTCAATCTCGTTAGAAAAAATCGCAGATAATATGGCAATCAAATTGGCAGGTATGTTTGGTACTTTGGCAAAATTTTCTAATAAATATTGTAACGAAGTTTCATCGTTAATCGTATTTTCACAAATTTGTCTATAAGAATTATGAGCTAATAATAAAAATAAATATTCATAAATTGGTGACAATTGTATATTTGAGGATATCTTGATCAATTCTTTTGAATCGATAGAATTGATTTTTTCTAATACCATAGATACGTCCATAGGCGTATGTAAATCTAAATGATTTGATTCACAAAATTCTTCGATTTTGGATATTTCATGTAAAACAGAATTAGAATCCATTATAGGATTAGAATAAATTGTATTCCATAAAGATATAATCTGATAGCGTATAGTTATTGCATCGTTCGTTTGAATAGATATTATCTTAAGTTCTTTTTTTATAAGTTGATCATTAGTACCATCATAAATCCATGGTAAAAATCTTTTTATTATTTTTCTCATCTTAAAGTGTACGTTCATTGACGTTTCAGAAATATGCGGTAAAGGCAATGTCAAATGTTTCTTTATCAATTTCGTTATTTTCCTAAATGGATCATGGGTCGATGATAACGATTGATTTATTTCATTGATCATAATGAAAAAATTATTCATCTCGTTAATCGTTCTTTCAGATATCATGGAGAACTTTCTTTTATTAATTTGATATAATTTATATATAAACTTGATCAACCATCTATAATGTACTCTCAATAATAAAGTCATTTCCTCAAGATTTATAATTTGTCTTGAGGATTTATTTATCAATGTCATTTCTCCCAATAATAAAAATCTATTGCAATATTTCAAACCTTGTCTAAATTCAACATACGTTTCGTTATCTATCAACAAAGAATTATCTCGTAATAGAGAATGTATGGATGCATTTGTTTGATAAACCAATTTTACATAATCAATTATAAGCGGTTGGTTCTTTAGGTTTGACGTAAGTTTATCTGAAAAAAAAAAAAAAAAGAAAAAGGAAAAAGAAGAAAATTATTTCAATATAAATGAAAATAATGACGATAAATAAACATTAAGGACGTCATATTAATGTCGTAAATGGAAAGATTTTTATTATTAAAACATTAATCAAATAAGACATAAGAATTTCGAAAGTTTTCATTCATGAATGATTGATTTTGATCGTTTTATTCTATATTTGTACCGATGATTATGAAGATGATGTAAATCACACACATATATATATATGTATATACATATTACATTTTCTGATATTTTGACATTTAGAATTATTTAGAATTATTTAAAAATTATTTTTTTTTCTCTATTATAACAAACAGAAAAAAGTAAATATATTTAATCTTGAGAAATAATTTTTTTGTGTAATTAACAAATTAAACAAAAAAGAAAAAAATAATAATAATAATAGCGTGTGACCAAAAAAGAAAAGAGAAAAAAATTCATGTGTGAAAAAATCTTTGATTTAGACCACTTTCATAATTGTTAACTTATACATACATATACATACATACATACATACATATATATATATATATATATATATATATATATATATCCTATTTACAAATTCATACTTACTGTGATATATTGCATTCGAGTATTGCTTCACAGACATTGTATTCTCTTTCTCATCAACTAAACTTTCATCCAAGATCGTATCATCCATAATGATCATAGTTCGCAAATATAAAAGTAAAGCTAATTTATTAGCATCGTTCATTACTTCATCGTTTCTATCGTTAACCGCAATCCCTGGTAAAAATGCAAGATCCCAAGGTAAGGATCTCTTGGAAATATGAAAGTCAAATGACAAAACTTCACTTGCCAATAAATTGTTCTTTTTCGTGAGATCCTTTAAAGTATCATCCTTAATTAACATTTTAGTCAACCACAAATTTCTGATCTCAACGTCATTCAAAGTTGATCTTTCATAAATATCTATCAATAAATATGGTAAAAGTTCTTTAACATCGACATTTAAAATTTCTATATTTTCATTTGCGATTAAATCAATTATATCGTTCCAATAACACGACTTAGGTGTTAAATCATTTTTCATTGGATTAGATTTATATATATCAATGGCCGATTTCAAAAAAAGACCTTCCTGTCTAATAATCGTAAGTTTTGTATTATCTTGTATATTTTTAATAGTCCAAGTAGCCGCATCGAAATCTATAAAATTATCATTATTACTTTTGCTTATTACAAAAGTATCAATAATTTCTTCGATTACGGAGATCAAAAATTCTTTTATTTCTGGCGTCCTCGTTGACCTGCCTTTGATGTACACATCAATGCACGCGATTCTAATTGCCTGCCTTGAGGGAAAACCGCGAGTAAGTCGACGAGCAACCAGAAATGCGGAATGCATTAGGTCAACTATATTGAGTTTATCGATCGTAACGATTTCTTTCGACATTCTTTCGTATATATCAACTAAAGCTCTTTGATGTTGGCACTTAGTTATTCCGTAATGATATAACATCGATTTCATATCCATTAGATCGTAATGAATATTCTCTTTCGGACCGATCATGTAAATTTCTACACCACGATTACGCATTGCCCTGAAAAAAAAAAAAAAAATACATATATATATATATATTATTTATACATTTATATATAGAAAACATTAGATCAATCAACGAAACATAATAATTTTAATTAACTTTTATCGTTATGCCATAATATCATTCATAAATAGTAAATCATATTTCAAGGAATTAACGAGCGCGCCATGTATGTAGATACATAAGCATTCGATAACCGATATTTGATAATAAAGGGATATAATTAAACGTTTTAATTAACATCGTTTCCAATATTTCTCAATATTCGATAGAACCTTTTTTTTGTTTTCTTTGTTTTTTTATTTTTTTATTTTTTTTTTTTTTTGACTCGTGCCATAATATACCTACCTTGAAATTTCTCCATAATGAGGATCCATCGTTAAGAACAAGCGAAAATTTTTATGCGGCTTAATAGTGATCACATTTCCATGATTATCGACCCCTCTTTCGCCGATGGTTAGAACACCATTTGGTTCTAATAATCCATTAAGTCGGTCCAACACTGCTGGACTGCAGAGATTTACTTGATCGATGAGAAGCCACGTGCCATCACGAAGACACTAAATAATTTTTTTTATTATTATTTTGTTTCTTGTTTTTTTTTTTTTCTTTTTTTTTTTTTTTTAATGTCATTTTTCTATCATTTTTCATTTTTTTTATTTTTTTTATTTTTCCTCCCTTAAACAACGATAGAATTTAAATGGGAGATCTTACCTTCACTAATACGCTATCGACCCATTCAAACTTGCCACCGGCATTTAAACATTTTTCTTTTTCCACGAATGTCGACAATGATTTCAATTTAATCTCAATTTCTTTTAACGCAAACTCGTAAGACGGTTCCAATGTTTTTATTTTTGAAACCAGCTTTGACAGTTCGTTGTTCTTTCGCAAAAAGAGCTGCGTTTCCGAAGCCATTGTTCTCGTATTATCGTTTTCATCTAGAATTGTATAAAAACAAGAGAATAATAATAACAACAATAACAACAACAACGACAATAATAATAATAATAATAATAATAATAATAATAATAATAATAATAATAATAATAATAATAATAATATATATACGATAAAAATATCATAAATATTATTATAGATATTTATTAGACGTGGGATAAATCAATTTACCGTCTGAAAGACGCTTCACTTTTTCTAAAAGACCATGATAACTGGCAAGTTGTTCCAAGTCGCTGCTATGAATTTTTCTCTTCAAACTTTCTAAGAGCAAGTCTTCCGTCCGCTCGAGCAATTCTTCCAGATGTCGATTATAATCGATCTAAATGAAATGAAAAGAACAGAGTGAGTTAATAAAAAGGAGAGTAAAAGAGGAAATAAAATAAAGGAAGAGAAAAGAAAAGTAAAAGTAAAAGTAAAAGAAAAAGAAAAACTATACTTACTATATCAAAATAATAATAATAATAATAATAATAATAATAATAATAATAATAATAATAATAATAATAATGATAATAATAATAATAATAATAATAAATCTTTCATTTTAAAATTTCATTATTGTGCAAAAAAAAAAAAAAGAAAAAAAGTGCAAAAGATAAAGAAAAAGAATAATTCTCATATCAAAATAATAATAATAATAACAATAATAATAATGAATCTTAAATTTTCAAACTCCATTATCATTAGACTTGATCCTTTCGCTAGATTAGCATTTATGAAATACATAAAAAAATTAAACTAGATAAAAATTCATAAGACGTAATCCTTAATACATGTACATAATTTCGAATTTAAGTATACATGAGTTTATAAGAGTGTGCATATATATATATATATATATATATATATATGTATGTATGTATGTACATGTGCGTTTGTAAAAATTTCATCACACGTTTGCCATTTACGAGTTCACAAGCCGAACACGTGGTATAAGGATAAAACTTTTGACGTAAGGATATCATCCATTTTGCTATGTAGAGATACGACGAACTGGCTTTGATTTTCTTATTCCTACTTTTTCTCCCTCTTTTCTTTTTTTTTTTTGTTTTTTTTCTTTTTTTTTTTTTTTTCTTAACTTTAAGGATCAGAAATATTCAACGTCGAGGTTAAAAACGATTTCCTTTTAGAAATACATAGAGAAGGGAATGAGAATGGAAGATGGCGAAATGTGGTAACGTCTAACTCCAAGATCTTTCTCGTTGCTATTTTATTATGAAGGAAACCTCGTAAATCACGGTGATATAAAATGAACTCGTCTACTAACTCCTCCTCCCTTCTTCCCCCCGTCCCGTTTTTACGCCATTCCTGACGCCTCATCGATCTGAGAAAAGGATAATAATATCCTATGCTATTTTATGGGAATTCTTCATACATGAATGTTAACATGTATATATATTTATATATATACACACACACACAGACAGATGATGTGTGTGTGTATATATATATATATAATATATATTTACATGTTTATATGTATACATGTATATATGTAGATATGTCAATATACAAATGATACACGCATTTTTTGGTAAATTCAATGGATATTTCGCACCTGTTACGAATGAAAAATTTCATTTTCAGAAGAATATCCTTTAGGATTATCCTTTAGAGGATAAGGATCATCAGAAATATTCGCCCGTGAATCAACATGATTGATGATTATTCCTTTGAGCCTATCTTCGTTTTACGTCACTATGGATTTTCATGGCTATTTAGCTTCAAGTAGTAAGACATTTTTTTTCGTCAACTCTTTCGAATTTTTTCTTACATCTTTCTTTTCTTTTCTCTGTTTTCTTCCTCTCCCTCCCCTTTCTTCGCCCTCACTTATACCTTTTCCTCTTCCTTTTTTTTTTTTTTTTTACGAGGATTTAACAATTGTGTTTCATATCCCTTTCCCTTCTCTTCATTTTTTTCTTTTTTTTCGTACATGTAAATCTCAAAAGGATTTGTATTTTTAAATGGACACTTAGCTTTTTTAGCTTTAATATTAATCAAAGACGTTAATTAATTAATTAATTAATTAATTAATTTATTTATTTATTTATTTATTTACTTATTTCTCTTTAATTTTTTCGGATATTTTCTTTTCTTTTTCCTTGGGGGATTTTTTTTTTTCGAATTACGTATTTCATCCCTTTTTTTCTTTTTTTTTTTTTTTCTGAAGATACAACGCAAAAGGAATTTTATCAATTTAAAGACATATGAAAATATCGAGTAAGATATTTTACGGGATTATTTCGTTTTCATAAAATTCGAAAGAATATTCTAAAACGTCATAGCAAACCGTTGCCATCGTTCGATTGGCACTAGTGGTATTGAACGACAAATTTTCGTATCTTTTTATGATATCCTGAAAAATCCATTGTAAAGAAGAAATTTCATTCACGAACTTTATACTTTCAATCGCCACGCGCGCGCGCGTGTGTGTGTTTATAGAAAATTTTTAGTTCGAATTGAAATTCGAATAATTTGAATTCACGAGCGGCGTTTGTCATTCATCGTGACGAGTCCGCAATTCGTTTATGACGAAAAAATCCGTCGAATTTTTTTTCGCTTTCTTTCTTTCTTTTTTCTTTGTTTTCCTCTCTCTTTTTTTTTTTTTTTTTTTTTTTTAACATGAAATACAACGCAAAGATAAGAAATTTGAATTGTAACGTAGTACGTTCGACGAATTTTATTTTTTGCTTCTCTTTTTATCTTTTTCTTATTATTATGTTTTTCTCTTTTTTGGAAATCGCGAATCCATCTTCAATTGGCTTCCATAAAGTTTTTCGTTATCGTCAAGTTTTTATAACTTGAATGACAACGTATAACGAGACACAATTTATTTATGACGAAATCGTCGAGTTTTTTTTATTTTCTTCTCTCTTTTTTATACTTCTTTTTTTTTTTTTTTTTGTTTTTTTTTCTAAACTATCTTCAATCGACTTCCATGAAGTTTTCACGACGAAAGAGATAACGTAATGGATCGCTATTTATTTATGACAAAATCGTCGAGTCCTTTTTTTTCTTTTTTCTTTTCATTTTTTCTTTTTTTTTTTTTTTTTTTTTTTGTTTCTTTTCGACACCATGAATCTCTAGCTTCAATTAACTTCTATAAAGTTTTCATAACGAAAGACACGGCGTAATGAGGATCGTAATTAATTTATGAAAAAAAATTGTCGCGTTTTCTCTCTCTCTCTCTCTCTCTCTCTCTCTCTCTCTCTCTCTCTCTCTAAAATATCGAATTATTCTTCTTCTTCGATTAATTTCGATAGGAATTTTCTTTTTTTTCCTATTTTTTCTTCTTTCTTTGTTTTCTCTTTTTCATTTTTTTTTTCTTATTTTTTTTTTTTTAATATCAAAAATAATGATTTCGATAAAAAAAGCAAATGGATTTTTAGGAAAATTGCTTTAGAGAAAATATTCTTCTTTTTGCTAAAAGAATATTCGTGGCACGTAATGCTCCACGAGATCGAGCTATGAATCAAAAGCGGATAAAGAAAAGAGAGAGGAGAGAGCAAATAAACCCGTCGGCATTTTGGTAACGAAGGCCGTGATAAGAGATTCCGCTTAGACAGATCCGCTCGTGTTTCGAATGTTGCCAGATACGCGATATAATATATCGACGAAATTTTAAATCAATCGCTTTCGACTACCTCCCCCTCCTCCCCATCCCAGAGATCCTCAAACTACTATCTTTTCAACCTCAACTTCCCCTCCTCTGTGTCCATAATTCCAGAGTTTGTCCGGTGTTTGTCCCGATTAACAGGAATACATAATAGAATTGCAAACGGCGAGCTTTTTCGAAAAGTGTCCTAAAAAAAAAAAAAAAAAAAAAAAAAATTCATTCCGATTCTTTGATTCCTTTCTCTTTTTCTTTCTTTCTTTTGCTTAACATTTCAGGATTCATTAGATCTCTCTCTCTCTCTCTCTCTCTTTCTTTTTCTTTTATTTTTTTTTTTTTTTTTTTTTTTTTACGGTAAATACCTGATTAGCAAATTGTGAGAAAGCGAGATAAGCTGAAGTTTTACATAAATCGTTCGAAAGATTAATTTCTTCGTTCGAAACGATCTAAATTTGAAGAAGAAAAAAAAAAAGATAGAAGAAGAAGAAGAAGAAGAAGAAGAAGAAGAAGAAGAAGAAGAAGAAGAAGAAAGGAAGAAGAAGAAAGATTTCAGATTAGGTATTACGAACTGATCATTTTGTCGTTCGTATTGCTTCTGGATCAGTGTCCTTCCTCTTATCTTTCTGTACACGCGTGGAATCCTAATGAGATCTCAGCTGAAATCTTTGAGTAATCTCAGTGTGTTGGACGTGACGAAATTGAAACGGAAGGTAATAACTTTTGCTTTATCGAAAAGACATCGCGATGAAATCACTATCGTCATCATCATCAACATCACCGTCATCGTCATCGTCATCGTCATTATCATCATTATTATCATTCGTATCAATCAAGTAGAAAACAAATTTGACGGTATTATGATTAATGATTTAATAAGAACGTAGATGAAGAGAGCGAGTGAGAAGGATATATTAGAAATTAGAACGGATCGATCACACGGTGTCGTGTCATTGCGTTTGATTTAACTAAGAAAAGAAATAAGATTACGTTACGTCATCGTTTAATTGAAAGCGACTAAAAGAATAGAAATGTGTCTTAGACGAAAGATAAAAAAGGTGTCGTAATTAATTAACGTTGTAAAAAGATCATAGATTTTTTCTTCTTCTTCTTTTTCTTTTTTTTTTCTTTTCTTTTTTCTTTTTTTTTCCGGCATTCTCTCACCATTTCTCAACGACTTTCCATTTTAGGACGAATCTTATCAACGAGCAAAATCTTCCTGCTCGAGAATATTGCTCGAGGAAGAGATAGTTTTATAGATTGACGAACCTCCCCTCTACTCTTTTTTTTTCTCTCTCTTTCCCTCTCTCTCTCTCTCTCTCTCTCTCTCTCTCTTTCTCTCTCTCTCTCTTTGTCTATCCGAGCGTGTTGATTAATCGGCTATTTCTAATCGGATTGATCGAAGCTAAGAGCCAAATGTTGGAGATAGGGATGCGCCCGTTTTTCTCTTTTCAAGAATTAAAAGTAGACACAAAAGGAGAGAATTTAACGTTTCGACGAACAACTAGTCCTAATTGTTTTTAATCCTTTTCTTTTCTTTCTTCTTTATTTTTTCGTTTCTTTTCTGCTCTTTTTTTTTGTTGTTTTCTTTTTCTTTCTTTCTTTTTTGGAAAAGAATTAATCGATTATTTCTTTAAGACAAAATATTTAAAATGTTTAAAAATATTTAGAGAGTTTACTTTCGAAAAAAAAACAGAATATATATATAT